GGTGTGGCTACAAAATACATGTAATGTTTACGTGTTTTCCATTTGCGATTGACAAAAACAAAACGACCAAAAACACACGAGGAGCTTGTCACAGATGGTATGTCATGAACGATCGCACCAGACCTGCATTCTAGCTCCTCCCCTCCCCAAAACACCTGAACACCCCGTCGGCGCGCGAGTGACCACCACGACACCCACCCACCTCACCGCCAGCGAGACACCCCCATTCCGCGTCCGCCTCCCCCCGATGCCCCCCCCCCTCCCCTCCAATGACCCCTGACCGCGCCTGGAGTCAGCCGGCGGACGCACTATCACCGAGCTGGCACACGTGACCGGCCTGTGACCCCGGCGCTTGTTTGATCGCCGACAATAGCCGGCCGCACGTCGGCTTCGAGTGATCTGACCGCGGGCCGGGCCGGACGTCGGTCGCATGAGGGCGCCCGTCACGTGCCGGTCACGTGCGCGGCTTTGTTGCCGAGTTGGGGCCAGCGGCGGCGGACGTGACGTGACACTGAGGCGCCGAAGGATGAGTTGCGTCAGTTTCTAGTCTTGATGCGGTATATTGCAGCGGAGCCGCGTTTACGGGGCCGTGCGAGGGGGTCGGCACCCATCTCAAAGAGCTCCGCGATCCGAACTCTCTCATTCGTCGGTGGTCGATAACACTGTCAGCCGGCTGTCGATAGCACGCGCCGCTACTCCCGACAGCCTCACTCCCATCCCTGCAGATGCGTCCTGCATAGATGGGTCCTCGATGTGGCTACCGATCTCGCCTTGTGGACTACGGCGGCTGCATTTTGAGAACTATCGACCGCCTCCGGAGCATTCATACGTCACCAGCGGTGAACATGCGCCACTAACGTTCAAAAGTGCACTTTCCGCACGTTCAGTTGTGCTGACGTGATTATTTCAAACACGCAAACCGACCATATCATCGCCAGGCTTATCATGGTGCGGCACGTTGAGCCTAGGCCGCTGGCTGGCATCATTCCAGCGGTTCAAGCACTCAGTCCCGACACAAACAGTGCAGACGATCAATCCTGACACAGACTGTCCATGCGCTCAGCCTCGACACAGACAATTCAGACGGTCAGTCCCGAACAGACAGTTCAGACAGTCAGTCGCGACATAGACAGTTCAGATGCTCAGTCCCGACACAGACAGTTCAGACGCTCAGTCCCGAACTTTAAACAGACAGTTCAGACGTTCAGTCCCGACCTTGACATAGACAGTTCAGACGCTCAGTCCCGACATAGAAAGCACAGACGCTCAGCTCCGACACATACAATTCAGACGGTCAGTTCCGAACAGACAGTTAAGACACTCAGTCCCGACACAGACAGCTCAGATGCTTTGTCCCAACACAGACAGAACAGACGCTCAGTCCCGACATAGACAATTCAGACGCTCAGTCCCGGCCTTGACACAGACAGTTTAGACGTTCAGTCCCGACATAGACAGTTTAGATGCTCAGTCCCGACACAGACAGCACAGACGCTCAGTCCCGACAGACACTGCAGACGCTCATTCCCGACATAGACAGTTCAGACGCTCAGTCCCGACATAGACAATCCAGACGTTCAGTCCCGGGTTCTATTGCAGACAGTGGTTGCGCGTACCTTTGAACCCGTTTCGCTGGTTTTATGGACAGAATTCGGCAACTTCGCGGAATAAATCGGGATGAAACCCAATGCCACGGCAGACATTGCAATCACAGTGGATTAATATTTATGAGAAGATATCTTATCAAATTCATAGAACTGAGCACAACGCATGTTTGAAAATTCGTTGCGGCTGGAGGGCGAAAGCCCTCTTTTGCATGGCAAGGGTAGCATAAATCGCTTGTTATTTCGGCTTTACGACTCACTCGGGCTACATGTCGAGGTCACTTGACGTCGCCTGCCCATCACCCTGGAAAGAGGGGCGGATACCGCGGACCCCGTACCACTGGTTTTCCAGACACGCAGCGTAACCGATCAACCACCGCAACCTGTCCAACAATTAACGTAACGGCATCACAGACAATGACCTTTCACTGCAGTACCCCGGAATTCACCATCTGATAGGTCCTCGGCTGAAAATGGCCTGGATCTTGGAAATGGTTCGGAGAGTGCCGCGAAGCCGGTTGATGGATGAGTATGCTCTCCTACCTCCATGAGCTGGGTCGGGGTCCAGATGAGCATGCTCTCCTACCTCCATGAGCTGGGTCGAGGTGCAGCTGGTTGTCGTGCTGTTGGCCGTAGTATTGTACCAGCCTCGCCAAAACCACTCGGGAAGAAACCAGATGTACCCCTGAAGCAGAAACCACGCCGTCTGTGCCAGCTGGATGAGGTCGCTAGCCATTGGTTGGCCTCTGGTATATAAAAGAACACAGGACATACATCGGCAACGCCAAAACCTTCAGAAGTATCAGTAAGTGCGTCGGGGTGCCGATGTTCAAGACGCTTGTTTACAAGCATCACCATGGGACCACTGCGTCAAAATTATGCAGAGTGAAAATATACGGCCCTTTGTCATCCAGTGCCTACGTCCATAGCCAGTACACAACAAGACATGCGTAAACGGGCACGAATCAAGGCCAAGCTCCACTGAGGCATGTAGCGGGGCGGGGAAGCGCGTCTTCCGCAAAGGGAAGACACTCCCTTTAGAACGTCTTCCCGCCTGTCGGTGAGCGTTCGATAACCAGAGAAGCCTGGCACGCTTGGCTGTCTACGTGCTGTCAGCCTGTTGCTGATCTAATCACAATATCGCCCAGCCATCCGTGAATGCGTCATGATGACGCACTGGTACTGAATGTCGCCTAACGATCCATAGGGCATGCACCTGCAGCTTCGGGATAAGACGACTCCGACGCCTGACTATGTTCTGACGTGATGTTCAGTATGTGACCCGTAATTGGCAGCAGAGATCGATAACAAATTAGTCTGTTCCAAGCTGCCCCTCCGAAGCAGAAGCTTAACGAATCCCACACCACCCTTCTACCCACGTAACCTTCGGTCAGTATATGAGCGTTTTCTCTCCACTTCCTGGAAGCCAGAAAGCTGAGAACGTTAATAAAGATGGAGACCCCAAGCCAAGTCATTCCAATCCAGTCAGGCTCATCTCATGGCAATCATACATACTTTAACGAGAACTTGTGAACAGGGAAGTTACTCGCTCTGAATCTGACTGGGTAGCTGCCAGCACGAACCGATCATTGGACAGCTGGGGCGGTCCAGAAGAGTCTGGTTCTAGAAGAGGTCTAGAAGAGTCTAGAAGAGTCTGGGTCTAGAAGAGATCTAAAAGCGTCTAGAAGAGTCTGGGTCTAGAAGAAGTCTAGAAGACTCTAGAAAAGTCTGGGTCTCATTTCAAGACATTGCATGGACGGCGTTTGACTGTCTGATATCTTGGTGTCCAAAAAAGGCACAATGTTACGTATCATATCAATGTCGAGCTAAACAACAAGACTGTAAACAGCATTCCGTCGGAATTTTCATCTAGTTAATGTAGTTAACTAAACCTACTGAAAAGTGTTGTAACTGGTTCCCTGACAGGGAAACTTAGAGATCGTTCTTTTACAAAGCAAGGGTTACAAATGTTGATATTCTTCCTCTCGCTGTAACGTGCCACTAACGCTATTGCCGCGCTCCAGACAGCTGTTGGCGGGTGGTCTACGCGCAATCGGTACTATCGAGATCTACGCGATTAAACTCAGGTGACAACTCGCTCATATGGTATCCTGTGACCATAAATGCAATTACACAGGCTTCGTATCATATCAATGTCGTTACACAGGCCAAGTCCAATTCTTGACACTGGGAACATACTCCGTGATAGTTATGTACATCGACCAAGACAGCAAGAGATAATGCTCCAACCGCACAGACATTGCTAGAGATCCTGTGCGGCCGAGTTGGTTCGGACCCCGAGCCCGGGAAAACCGAGCATGGGGGGGGGTCCGTGGGCCCTTAAGAGGTTTATTTTTCCTAATAGTATTTTGCCATCGGCCATCTGTGAATTTCATGACTCAGGCTTAGTGGGCTTCATCTGCAAACTCTCTGCCCTCTAGCTATTTAATAGGATCTTTCTGATCACCACGGGACACTGTTCGCTTGAGGGCCCTTATGGCTACAGCGGCGTTCTCCTCTGACTGATCAAGGACCTCACTAGCCGTCCAGGGGCCCCTCCAATCACCATGGGCACCCATAATTGTGCAAGGGTCCTTCTGACCACCTCAGTGCTCGTCTTCATATTGAGGGCTCACTGGTCACTCAGCCAGGGGCTCACGAGCCAACAGAGGATCCCACGTCTGGTCGCCAGAACTATTCAACTGTATCCTGGGCCGTCTGGGCACTCAGGCGATTGCTAGTTGCATTGGGCTTTTTGTTAGCATAGAGACCCTTCTATCGCCCAAGAGCCCCCACCCCTCCCTGTCTGTTCGTACGCTCAGACACAGGCACGGGGACAGGGGATCGTGTCTCCTCCTCGGTCCCGTGGGATCAAAAGCTCCTGGGAACCGAAGATAGTGGACACGATTGAGCGTCTCTAAGAACCAGGGTTGCAAAGGTCATGTGACGAACTCCGGTCTACAGGTCGGGACCTCGAATGTCATTCAGAGGGCTTCCTGCACCATTCCTCCCCCCCCCCCCCCGACACACAAAGGGCCACCAGTCCAAAAATCCCCCAGGTACCAGCCAGTTCAAAAATGCAAGCAGTACGAACAAATTATGCGGTACAACGGATGACACCTTTGGAATGTCACCAAAGCTTTACATCGCAACAGTTATTGCAGAAGCGCATGAGATGCGTGTGCGACCAGCTAAACCCTGAAGAACAAGCTGGTACTCGCTGCACGTGATGCAAAACGGTGGCATTCATGCATCAGCAGGCTACAGTGCACACATAGCATCATCTACGGTGCCTTAACGAGGTACAGTGGTGAGACGCGTTTGTATATGAGGTTTGACTGCACATGGACACAGCTCTGCCCCACCGCTGACCCGCGTGACAGCCAGGCAACGTCCGGTAACACAAATCGCTTCAACATGGCCGCGACTACCGAGGAAGTGCGAGGTTCACAAATGCCGGTCCGCTTATCCCGGTAGAGTCCAGTGTCATCGATGTTCACCGACGTGAAGTGACGACACAAAAAAACCTTTACCGCCAATAAGGCACTCTGTATTCCGCATTTAAAGGGCGTGCTCCAAATTTGTGTGGGGATTTGAACTGAAATGGCCATTTTGAACATCATCAGGAACAGTTCACAGCTCTGCTCTTCTTCCCTGCAGTTTCTGAGCTACACGCCCCCGAACACGTACAAACTATTACGGGGAAATACCTCAAGGTCATCCAAGCATCCATGACGTCCTGATAATGCCACTGAAATCCTGTCATTTCACTGGTCATGCAGCGACCACTGCCAAGAAAAATATGTTTGTCGAGTTGCTTGTATCTGGCATTTGTGAGCACACTTTCAAGAAATAACGGCCATCAGTTGGCTAACCATCAATGTTGTGCAAGGTACGTTGACGTAATCAAACAGACGCATTGAGGAGCTCATTTAGCAAAGAGGAAACCTGGGTTGTCTAGGGCAGTCTTTTCAATCTAGAAGCATACCAACAGTCATAAGTGAGCTTTTTCATCAGATATGACGCTTCAATACCCTCACATGGGGCACATTTCCTTCAAAACGCGGTATTACATGTACTTTGACAACGTGACAACGCGTTCAAATTGCAGAATGGCGGCGAACTCCTGACCAAAGAAATGACCCGACCAAACATCACTCCACGGTCTCAAATACGAAAACCATCCGACTCCTCACCCACAGAACACCACAATGGGTATCTCTCTGTGCGGACACAACCTGCCGGCGTACAGCCTCTGTGCACCACACATGTGTGCCACACTGCCAAGGCATCTCATCCTGATATGGAATGGACTCACAAACAGTGCGGGTGCATCCTAATTTTAGGTCACTTTTCTGCACAGCATTCACAGACTTCACAGAGACTCAGAGACTCAAAGAACATGGACTCAAAATTCACGACCGCTCGCATTACATTAACCTCCGGACCGTGCATAACGAGGCCTCATCGCAACAGTACCTGCCTGGCCGTCATGTTCTGCAGGTAGGCCTCGCACATGATGGCCTTCGCCGCCACCTGGTACATGTCGGCTATGATGATGCGGGCCTTCTTGTCCTTCAGTTCTTTCAAATACTGAAAAGGCAAGGTGTTTGGTTATTATGAAGCAGCTGGCTAGAAAATGAACTGGCGGGAAGGATGTGATGGCAGAGAAGTAGCGCTGAAGGACCACCATCGGCCCACGTGAGGGGGAGGGGTATTATAAAGTAACCCCGAATTACAAAAAAAAAATCCGTCGTGCCACTGCCGCGTTTGTCCTGTGATCTTATTGTCAAACAATGGCACTGCCAGGTGCTTCTTTGGCTGTGATCCGGTATCAGTTGATCCCGAGTATCACTTATCATCTGTCCATAACCTTGCACGTAAACTTACTTAGGACCTAAACAACTCTTAGCGGTCATGAGCTGCGAGTCCTGTTTTGTGAACGAGGCCAGTAAATCGATGTTGTTCCGCCTACAAGGACATCTCGTCTCAGTCATTTCGTAAAACTGTTCGCTTGTCGCGTGTTGCCACCGCACAGGAGCATTACAAAATACAGCATATGTTGACGCTCCTTCTCGGAAGTAACGGAGAGAAGCCAGCCCCGCCAAAGTCCTGCATGTTTCCATTCAATGCCCGCTTCGATGAAGACCGCTTCCCCTCAAGTGTTCGATCCTCCTTTACGTCAGACCTGCTACTTCCGTCCCTGCCTCGACATCGATTGATCCACATGCTTGACCTGCGTCTCACGTCGTCAGATCCCCTGTGTGGGACGTGTTCCCCATGTTTTCCGGGCCGGTGATATCGGCTGCCACCCCCGCCCTCCCCACCACGCCTGTCTCGGCACACGACGCCGCCTCCTCACTCCCTCAGCCCGCCCCACCCAATATCCATACGTGTCCCCCTCGTGTACCCCCTGCCACAGGTCCAACACTCCTCCCATCCTCCCATCAGGGGTGTTTCAATCCAACAGATCAACGTGGACCGTATGCCGAAAACTGCGACAAGAAGCAGACCTGGCCCACATGCACGCCAAGCGAGAGAGAAATCCCACTTTCCCTGATCATGGAGGGTCACACCCCGTTGGTCCTCGGCTGGATCCGGCCGTGTCTCCATCAGCGTCCGCCTTAGTCGCGCTCAGCCCGCTTCGCGTCACTATCCTCGGCTCAGCGGCTATAGCGCAGCGTCCGGCCCAGCTCGCGTGTCCACCGCAGCCTGCCCCCTCCCCCCCCCTCCCCCCGCCTCGGTCCGGCCCAGCCCGCGTGTCCACCGCAGCCTGCCCTCCCCCCGCCCTCGGTCCGGCCCAGCCCGCGCGTCCGCCGCGGTCTGCTCCCCCAGGTAGGGAGCTCAAACCGAGCACCGTCCCGCAAACACGTGTGGCTGCCGGCGAAAAATAGGGCTGCACGTGACGGCCCGCACGTGTCCGTGGGTAGTGCCGCTAATGGCGTTGATGGTACGCCGGCGAGGCAATGAGGGCAAACATAAGGCGGCGAGGGCCGCCTTCTCGGCGCGACACGCCGGAGGCGCATTCCGAAAACAGCTCAGAAATCTGATCAGACTGATCAGGTAGCTCATGTGGCCAACAAACAGAGGCCAACTAGACCATTCATGAGGCCATTGATGACGGTCATGGATTGATCAATACCATGTAACGATGCCAAAGTTGTTGAAGAACGGCTAAGTGACAGTTTCCGAGCCCTTTGCCCGCCGGAGAAGTGCGCCATCTTTCTGTGCGCCACAGAAAGATGGCGCACTTCCCTGGCTCTCACAGGTTATTGGCATGCGATTGTCAGTAGTTTTGTTCATCCGTCAATATGATTCATTAATAATCAAACATGTAGATACGGAATCAAATGTGTGTCGGGCCGCATCATTTTCTAACAAGACCGTTCACAAGCTGCCTAAAATGTGATTTTCTATCTCCCCCCCCCTCTCCCCTCTCCCTCTCCCTCTCTCCTCTCTCCTCTCCCTCTCCCTCTCCCTCCTCTCGCTCTCCCCTCTCCCTCTCCTCTCCCTCTCTCCTCTCCACCTCTCTCTCGCTCTCCCTCTCCCTCCTCCCTCTCCCTCTCCCTCTCCCGCTCCCCTCTCCCTCTCCCCTCTCCTCCTCCCTCCCTCTCCCTCTCCCATCTCCCTCTCCCTCTCCCTCTCCCTCTCCCTCTCCCTCTCCCTCTCCCTCTCCCTCTCCTCTCCCTCTCCCTCTCCCTCCCTCTCCCTCTCCCTCTCCCTCCTCCCTCTCCCTCTCCCTCGCCCTCTCCTCTCTCTCTCTCTCTCTCTCTCTCTCGTCCTCTCTCTCTCTCTCTCCTCTCTCTCTCTCTCTCTCTCATCTCCTCTCTCTCTCTCTCTCTCTCTCTCTCTCTCTCTCCTCTCCCCGCCTCACCCTTACCGTAGCCATGTTAGTCGTATCGCTAGGAAACTTCCTGTTGGCGATAAAGGTGACGCCGGACGCTTGCAGCATGTCGTGCATGATGGAGATATACTCAGAGTACTTCTGGCCGTTCTCTGTCAGCGACGCCACTCGCTTCCACTTGAGCTGGGCCAGCAGCTGCTTGTACACAAACCTGAGAACGAGAACGTGTCAGGCGACCGCCCGTTTGTAGCTGGTTGACCGTCACTTCTGTGTATTGCAAAATACTCCCTCTCACCAGTTGTGGTAAGAGAACGAAGCGTTTTGAAACTGGTCTTTGTCCTGAGTCCCCGCTTTAGTCTCATTGACCGTGATACCTCTCATCTCATTTACATGCGCGTTGTGCGGTGATTACAATGTCACAAAAGACATCTTCCGCAAGCAGGGAGCTAGAATTGCTTTGTAACTAGGGTGGGAGTGAAAAATTGCATCGCAAAACATCGTACAGGAGTAAAAAAATCAATTCATTAAAGATAGAACTTATGAGCTCGTGACTGATGCTTCAGCAAACAAAGGTATCTATTTCAAGTTGGCATGGACGTAATATCATAAACCTGACAAAACTTTTTGGTTTTTAACATCTTAAGCTGTTAAAGTGAAACAGAATACGTTAGAGCATAGTAATTTAATTACAGTGTGATGAGCATAAACAATTATCTACACCAATAATTTGATGCTGTACTTTGCACTTACCTTCCACAGCACTTAACACAAAACAAAGCAAAGGAATTCAATAACAAGATAACAAAAAATTCAACGAGCATAAAACACTCAAACAAAAAAACCTTGAACGCCTACACATCAGCCCATCACCAAGTCAAACACAATAGACATACCTCTGGCTTTTGTTAAGATGGGATCAGGGAAAACAAACCTTTTGTCCCTGTTTCCTATAAAATACCAATGCTTATTCCATGAAAGTAGCCTAACTATGCCTAACATAAAGAGGCCTTACTTCGTCTCTTCCTGTCTAACCTGTTTGTATCACAGCAGCAGTTGTGAGTTGCTGGTTCTTGCACCATTCCTATTGCCACTTTCCATGCACTTAATCAACTTAATCTAACTTTGAGAAGCCCATATGTTGAACATCATCTCAACTCACCTATCTGTTGACAGCAGCACTTGTGATAAAAACATGATATAGCTAATTTTTGGCTGGTTTCAACTCGCATTTCTATTCAGTTCATTTGTGTATGCTTGTTAGCCTCAGACAAAGTTGACAACAAACGAATCAAAATACTTGAAATCACTTTGAACGACTTATTTTGATTGTCATGGTTAAGCTATGTCAAGGACAATGATGGTATGCTCCACAAAACAATCTCTCTTCTCCAAAAGAAAATGACTAACTCTGGTTACCTAATCATGTGTTGGAAAGCGGGTAAGGCAAGCAATTACTTGGTTCACAGGAGGCTTACTGGCTTCTTTCTGCTCCCCCACGACAAAAAGTCAGTACCTTTTGCATGGTCTGCTGGCAGACAGAATCATCCGACTCACCCCCAAATATAAATAGCAATCATGCCCACCAACCTACGAGATTAAAATGCGAAACAAGTAAGAGGTGTGCATGATAAACATCTCCAGAGGGCAGAATTTCGCCATCAAACACTCCTGCATTAGCTGCGTCAGGTCTGTCCAAAAGCTCTGTATGGCAGCATTGGGATGGCCTTGTCATGTAGCCTGGTGAGATAGACACTCGAAAGGCTTAGATTTATCATTATTGAGCACCGCTATGAACCAAGAAGACGGTTAAACGAGGGCTTAACGGGGCAAAAACGGCGATAAAAATAAGTTCCGTGCTTCAAATTGTCATCAACTTGGGTGCATATCAAACATGTTTGGGCGGCTGACGAATAAATCCAATTTAGGTATGAAATACGTACAAGTTTGCAGTTGGAGAATCTTGCAGATAAATTTTTTTCACATTTTAAGCAACAGATGGTACCTCTAGAGGGAATCCAAAAGAAAGGAAGCATTAAGTGGTATTACACTCGTATGATATCAATAAAAATAAAAGTAGTTAAATAAATATAAAGACAGATGCTTTTCTGGCAAAATTTTGTTATCAGCTGATTTGACTTAAAATCTGTTAAAATGAGTGCTCAAATGGTGATATCCATCTTATAGATTTAATTTGGAAGGCATTTCTTGAATTTTTCACTCCTGTATTTCGGGAGTGATGCAATTTAGTGGTCAAGTTTCCTCGGGGGAAAAAGAAATACGTGGAGTAAAATTCTCTACCAGGCCTTGCTGGTGTTTGCACCAGGCTCTGCTTTCGTGGTGTGGTGGTGAGACGAAAAAATAGGGGATGCGTGAAAACCTTGCATTTGGTACACAGCTGCCGATTGTAATGCATTTTGTACACAAACCAAACTTAATGCGTGCAAGCGGCTGGAGTCGCTGGGGTTTTCGGGCTTGGAGGTACCTGGCGCCCTTGCTTTGCGTATACGTAAACATGATTCAGATGTAGGTGAGGCAGGACATAGCCATAGGTGTCCAGGTTCTGTGGAGTCTCGTTCATGCTTGGTGGTTTCAAGTGAGCTCGATTTTGGATGACATTTGAAAACCTCAGAAAGGGAAACAGGGGGTTTGGCACGTGCAATTAGACAATTTCAGGCAGGAATGAAAAATTCACATAAAATATGGAGAAAAGGAGTGAAGAATTCCTCCACATAGGGTGCTGCTTTACACCCAAAGTCGGCAATTCTAGGACACTGTCCGCAAGCGTACTACTATCACATTAAGTAAAACCATTATAACTACCACATTCGGTAGTTGTAGCTTGCATGGCGTAAGGATGCCACTACAATTTGCCTGGGTCACAACTGCGTTGGACCGGCTACGATAGCGGCCAATGTGGCGCACTGCTAAGTACTGCATAACGGTCATCCATCACCACCACCCGACGCCCACTTCAGATATGCCGCCCGACAAAGCCAGCACGCGGCCCCGAGCGGGAGCCGTCACTCACTCCGCCAGGGCCCGGATCATGACTTATGTATCCTAAACGGATCAGCGACGATGACGAGCGCGGGGTCATATGTGAGTCCACCCACCACCAGTCCTTCAGATTACTTTACCATTAAGGTAACGCCTAGCAACGGGACGAGTTCCCGGGCGCCATCTCCGCGAATGTAGCGAGGCTAAAACCGCTTATGCCACAGAGGCAACATGCAGACCAGTGCATGCATGAATGTGCATCAATGCGCGGCACTAAGCCGTTCTTACATTCTCCATTACACCCAATAAGGGATCGTAGGCTTCATCACAAGCTGATAGGATTGGGCGTAATGAACACATTAATTTTCTAATTTGATGCCCCGGAAAGTTGGGACAACTCCCGACTCGAGCTAAAAATGTATTTCGGACGCCGCTCATGGTGTCCACTGTGCGCATACTTAAGCTAAGTTTTCCTACTCAAAATTGGCCGCTAATGTGGGGGTGAATATGACCAGCGGTACTGCCGCCATATTCCCTCACGCTGGAACCAAACAAATAAGCAACAAATAACGAAGCGTGATATATTTGCCTGACTGACCTTGGTTTCAGTACTCAGAAGCTCAGCGCGCTGCAGTACCAGGAGCCTCGGCCTCCAAGTAAGGTGATCGTTTGGCCCGCGTCAGCCAACGGCACCGGAGATTTTAGCGGGAGAGGTCATGCAAGGTCACGACACAGCCGCTCATGGAACACCGTGACCCTCCTCGTCGGGGACATACGACGCCTTGTTATATTGCAATAAGGCGCGTCGGCACTGGGCGCACCACCGGAAGTGTATCCCGTGGCAGTGTAAATAACGTTGTCCTTGCCACCCCCACACGGCTCGGGCAGCACGGTACGCGGCATAACGAGGCAGGCCTTCTCAGTATGTCATCGAGACGGCAGCGTAGCAGACAGATAATAATGGACAGACAGAACGCCTCGCAACACAAAAGGTGCTGGAAAACCGGCTTATTGCCACGTCCTTGCGCATTAACAAAAAATAGATTTCCTAGGACCATTTCTAGAGGACAGATATAGAGCATGACGCCAATGGCTTGTGTGTGTGTGCGTGGAGGGGGGGGGGGGGGTGATGACCATTGCGTGTGAGCGGGACAGAGGGCGAACAGTAAACCAATTTTCTGACAACCTCAATTAAATTGTAATTTCGATGATAACCTTACTAGAACGTGAATAGTTCATGTTCATACAGCCCATAAAAGGAGACGACGGCAAAATACAACTGGTCGGAGTGAAAAGGAAGTAACGGTTTAAGGCAATAGTGCTAGAAATACTTTGTCAAAGAGCATGACCCAGGTACGTTACATCACAGTTCTCTCCATATCTGAAGCTCTCACGGAAAATTATTTCAAAAATACTAGTTACACAGCGAACCGCGAGTCCTGTCGGCGTTTCGAAATAAGGTTTATTCTGGAGAAATCAGGGGAAATTATCACGAGAACTTCAGCTTTTAAAGGCTCCGTGAGTGTGTCGACAATCATTGTGTTGAGTTGACGTACAGCAAATATAATAATAATACCTTATCCGTTATTACCATACGTGACATTTCTGGTCCCCGCACCGAATTACTGAGCCCGTGGAAAATGTCCATAACCGCAACGGCAAGTTATAAATAGTTTGCAACGGTCCCCCAACTGATGGTTCGGAAAAAGTCCCGGCGAGCATGTTGAAACTGGCAAGATCTTTCTTCACGATCTAACAGCGGTGGTTATTCAATTCTGGAGTTCTTAGATCGGTTATCGAGTTGATTTAAAGCCTTGCTTTTGATACATTGGTGTGCGGAACGAAGACCAGGCATATTCACAGTTTTGTGGAAAGAGCGGGGCGTGGCTATTTCGAAGAGCACTATTTCGCCTCACCTGTTCACCATTCATCCTTTTAAAAACGTATCTTCTCGAGCAAGGTCGATAGAACGACTCTGTCCTCAGAACGTTTGACCTCAGAACCAGTTACGTCCAATACCAGTTCTGAATAAAGTCCCTCCGGCACCGTCAACGACTCTGTCCTCAAACTGGTTCCGAGGTCAGAACGACTCTGTCAAAGGGTAGTAAAAACCAATGATCTTCATGATCTGTGCCCGAGCAATGGTGAAACTAGCTCTAACGAACAAGTTAGTTTGGTGAGCTCTAGCGAAACGTCTGACATTAGCATGGGCGC